TTGGACAGCGCCCTCTGCAGCTCGGCCTTGGATTCCTGCTCCTCCTCATACTGTTCCCGCAGCAGGTCACAGTCGTGGCGGGAGGACTGCAGGGCGTGGGAAAGGGCGTTCTTGGCCTGTGGAGATAGTTACACCTTCATTTTACTGCATATGTTTAATAACTGAGTTTCAAACCCTTTGAAAGTTGGTGTAAATGGACTCCAGTTAGGGTTAGGTCATACAAAAAACAGTGAGTCTGACAATATTATTATTTACCTTTATCTCTTCTTCCAGCTGCCTCTTTAATTCCTCAGTTTGTTGTGTAAATGCTTGTTTGCCCCTTGATAGCTGAGACACCAGAGCTTCTTTCTCATCTAGCTGTCGTGAAAATTCACCTGATAGATGAAAGAAATGGCACCGTTTTTTAAAGTGAAGAAACAATTTTGCAAGCCCAAAGTAGAAATAAGTGTTAACTCTTAACTCTCCTCCACTGAGTACTCAAAAGATTGAATTCTCTAAATGTCAAATCTCTGATTTTTATGGTAAAACTTCATATGAATCTGAATAAATAAATACAGCTGAAATCCTTTTTGTTCTCTCCATAACTAATTCTTTCTGGGTGTATGATAGTGTGCAAAACCTGGTTATGGGAGCCAGGATACTGAATTCTACATTGGTCTTTTGAGGTTCATCGATCTTTTGAGAGACAGGGTTATCCATTCCCCTTTCAGGTATTTGGTTCATTTGATGTATAGAGACAGAAGTTCGGTCTGCAACAGGAGTCCTGGACCCAGCCAGAGTGACTCCTAATCCCAAGCATCCTTTCAGCGTGGCCAACTACTCTAGGCTTTTCTGGAGCAGAGCTTGATCCAGTCCTGTCGAAGTCTTTATCTCCAGCTTTGTCCCCAAGTGACCTTGCAAGTAAGTTGAAAGTCTGAGCTGTTCAGTAAATCACACGTGTTCTTAGCTGTGTTTATTAGGCTCTCACATTACCAAATCCGTTGTTTTCAACCACATCATCTCCATTCTTAGTGCCCAGAAGAGGACAGTTACCAGATTCGGTCTGCAAGCGTCCTTTCTGGGTCGTCAGGTCATTGATCAGCCGCTGTTGTTCCTCCTCCTTTGATTTCAGCTCACTCACTTGGTCCTCCAGAGTGCGGCACATTTTCTCTAGATTTCCCTGTGTGAGAAAAAATAAAAGAAGGAAACAAAGATATTTTAATATAATTTTAAAAATAAATAAATATTAATAAATACTTTGGCATAAAATCAAATTCTCTTATATATAATTGCGATACATAAAAATTTTTTTCTTTATATTTTGATTGCTGTCCTCAGCTGAAAATACATGTTGGGATTTTTAAAGAGCTAACTGTGCAGTTCCGTGCCCTATTAATACAAAAAAAAAAAAAAATTAAAGACGATGTTCTAAAATTTAAGATGTTGTAAGAATTGTATGGTATATTTTTCTAAAAGCATGTTTATAAATACTTAATTGCCTTTCTGTACGATGAAACTTGGCTTATTGGATAATTGAGAATATTGGAGACCTAGTTCTCCAACTGGAGCCTGAGAGAATGCAGGTGGCCTTTGTTCAAAAGCTGGTCCTGGGGCGCCTGCGTGGCTCAGTCCATTAAGCATCTGCCTTCAGCTCAGGTCATGATCTCAGGGTCCTGGGATTGAGTCCCACATTGGGTTCCCTGCTCAGTGGGAAGCCTGCTTCTCCCTCTCACTCTTCCCTCTGAGCTCTCCCTCTCTCTCTCTCTCAAATAAATAAATAAAATCTTAAAAAAAAAAAGAAGAAGCTGGTCTTGTCATTTGTTCATGGTGTGATGGGGCCAGTGCACTTAACTTCTTTGTATTTCAGTTTCTTCATATGGTAAGTGGAAATAATACAAATGCTAGTATCTTTCTTATCTCCTAGATTATTGTAAAAAAACCAAATGACATAATGTGTGTAAAGTACCCTGTGCAAACTATGATGTGTACGTAAAGGATCATTGTCACTAATAACAATTTTCCAGGCTCTGGTACCTTGGCTTTAGAGACTGTTTCTACATTACTGGCGAGGTCATCGATCTCCATCTTCATCTCGCTCTTCTCCTTCTCCAGCTTCTGCTTGACCCTCTGGAGGTTGTCTATCTGCTCCCCGAGCTCGGCCACGCTGTCCGCGTGCTTCTTCCTCAGGGTGGCCGCTGTGGCTTCGTGCTGTAGGGTGGCCTCCTCCAGGTCCCTGCGCATTTTCTGGAACTCAGCCTCGCGCTTCTTGTTCATCTCGATCTGGGCGGAAGTGGCCCCGCCGGCTTCCTCCAGGCGCTCGCTGATCTCTTCCAGTTCCCGGGAGAGGTCAGAGCGCTGCTTCTCTGCTTTGGCCCGGGAGGCCCGCTCTGCCTCGATTTCCTCCTCCAGCTCCTC